TAAATTCCCCATTCTAAATTCCAATACAGCCACTACCACAGGCATTTATCACCCAGGCTGCCTCTGAGCCCTCCCCTGGACTAATGGCTTGGGCAAGCAGCAGTTTGGTTAAATTATCTAGTTAAGAAATTATACTTAAATTATTTTCACTTTTAATTTAATAATTAATTCTTCTAAGTGCACACTGCAGACTTTTCTGTTCAATTATAAATTACTACCTAAACTTATGCACAAGGTAAAGGAATTTATTTCATCCAGGTGCAGAATTCAACACTGTGAGGTGCAGCCAGGAAATGAAACCTTGATAACAGTGGGTGATCATTTGATAACTGGTGGAAGGAGCAACCATGTCTTAGCCATGTCTTTTTGCAATGTATCTGAACTGTTCTTAGCTTGGTAAGACTGGGATATATGCAAATGAAACCTTACTGTAATTAAAAGTCATAATTATCTGGAGCAAAAAAAAATCTCAACAAATCATGATTAATTTTGCGACATGAGGAATCTCTATTTATTTTTTCGCATATTAAGTCTGGCAAATGAGTTTTCATCGCTTGTAGGATGTGCTATTCCTTTAGCTTAGTAGCAAAAATAAGTGATTTGCAGAGTAGCAGCATTGATTTTGCAGGTGAAGGTATTTTTTCTAACCTAACCTCTGTTTTACTTCATTTGTATTTAAGCCTATAACGTGAACCTGTCAGAGTTATCCCAGACAGAGCTGGGATGGTTGAAAACTGGGCAACAGCCCCTTTTTAACTCCTTTTTAGGCAGGAGTTTCATGTTATATAAGCTTAATGAACCTTTTGGATGCACACAGGAGGCTCTGGCTGAATGACCCCGATCAATCCCCAGGGTTTGGATCCATCATTTCTCCCTCACAGCCTCTGCTTCTGCTCAGGGAGGGAGGGAAGGAGGAGAAAATCCACAGGCTGCTCCTGTGAGAGAGCTGGGCATTGCTGGGCAGGGCTTCCCCTCAGGGTTTCCCTTCTTTCTCAGAACAAACAGGGAAAAATTGGATTTTTTTGGCTCTAAGGACAAGCCTCACTGATGTGCTGCCTCAAGCATCAGTGCCAAGCCAAAATTCAGGTGGTGCTCTCTCTCTGTGTTGGTTCCCAGGGGTTTTTATCTCCCCAGTCCTGCCAGCTCACTTCAGTGCACTGAGAAAAGGAGATTCTACATGAGCAGCTTCTGCTTCCTCTCCTGTGCAGCCCCTGGGGCAGCCCTGGTGCATGGAAACTTCCTTTGGAGGGGAAAAATAAGGAAAAAATGGCAAGAATGAGCTTAGGAAGGGATGATGCTGCTGCAAGGGGCCAGCAGCCCCACAGCAAGGCTGTCCTCAGCTCCAGCCAAATCCCCACCTGGGCCTCAGATGTGATACAGCAGCTCCAATTTGAGGGGAAAAAATACAATTTCTATGTAATGAGGTGTCTGTGCAGCTCCCCCAGAGCTCCCAGCTCGTTTAAGTAATGAGTTTAACAAAATTTCATTTCTTACAGACGCTGCTGCACACACAGGGTGCTTTTCACAGCCATGAAATCCATCTGGATCTGCTCCTGAGCAGCCAGGCAGGGATGCCAGGGCACCAGCTCCTAAATCACTGCCCAGCAAAAGCCAACTGAGTCATTCCAGCAGAGCCTGGCTGCCCTCAATGCCAGCAGTGACTTCACCCTGCTGCAGCCAGAGGCACCACAGGCCCCAGGGAGCAGGGAAGGGAAATTAAAGATGATCCAGGGATCAACACCTTCCACTGGCCCAGAGTGCTGCAAACTGGCCTTGGACACTTCTGGGAATGGGGCAGCCACAGCTTCTCTAGGAATTCCGCCCCAGCCCCTCCCCACCCTCACAGGGATGAATTTTGCCCTCCCAGGGACAGATTTCCCCCTCCCAGGGATGAATTTTGCCCTCCCAGGGACAGATTTCTCCCGAACATCAATCCCAGCCCACTCCCTGTCAGTCTGAAGCTGTTCCTCCCTGTCCTGTCACTCCAGGCTCCTGTAAAATCTCTCTCCAGGAGCCAGACTCACATCCCTGGCTCTGGGGTGGATGATGAGCAGCAGAGATGCTGCTGCTGCTTCTCCTGCTGCTTCCTCAGCCATTTCTTTGGAGTTGAGAAATTCCTGCTGCCCTTCCCTCCCTGGAGCTCCTGCCTGGGCACCAAAGGGACATTTGGGATTTTCCCCAGCTCTGCACCCACCCTGCTGTGCCCCAGAGCTCTCCCAGCTGTGGGGGGATGCTCCAGGGGAGGCTGCTGGGAGCAGCATCTCCCACTCAGCTCCAGGACTGGGATCTGAATCAGCAGCAGGAGGCATCAGCTGTTCCACAGCCAGCTGTCCTGAGTCACAGCTCGGGTTTCCAGGTGCTCTGCTGCCTGGAAATCCTTTCTGGGAACTGCCCCAGAACACAGCAGGGTCAGGCCTGGCCTCCAGCCCTGCACTGACCCTGCCCTGGCCATTTCCTCTGCACTGAGCACCTGGAAAAGGCAGCAGGAGGGGCTGGCCCCAGCCCTGGGCTGCCCAGGGGGTTTAGGAGCAGGGCAGGGGGGGCACAGCCCAGCCAGGGCATTCCGGAGGGCTCCACCAGCTGGGGACAAACCCCCTGAGCTCCATCCCCAGCACAGAAACACAAATGACAGCCCTTGCCTACCCAGAGCTATCAGAGACAAGGTTGGATTCTCCCTCCCTTGGAGTAATTAAAGCCTGGTGATTATCCCACTCATCAACCAGTCTAGACAGAGTTCTCAGTGCAATTCAGGGCAAATCCACCCATTCTGCATTTGCCAGGGATACACACACCTTACTCCAGGCAGCCACAGGCACAGGCAGCTTTTAGCAGCTCCCAAAAAATCTTAATTCTGCTCAGGACAGGCTGGAGAGGGGCTGGAGCAGAGCCCAGCAAACAGGTGATGGAAACCCAAAGGATTTGGGATGAAGGGCTGAAATTTTACTTCATTTTCCATTAAATTTATGATTCCATCCCAAATGGATTTAGGAGCTGAAGCTTACAGGAAAACTAAAAATGTACCTGAGATACTAGAGATGCATCAAGAAAGTTGGCAACCCTGTAACTCATTTGTGTTTTCACACTTTGGCCTCCATGACAATAGCATACATTTCTGGCCTTGATTGTACTGATTTCAAAAATTTTCCTCTGACCTCCAGTAATTTAATTCTATTCAGGACAGGCTGGAGAGGGGCTGGAGCAGAGCCCCAGCAAAAGCAGGTGATGGAAACCCAAAGGATTTGGGATGAGGGGGAAGAGCAGCCACGGAATGGTTTGAGTTGGGGGGAGCTCAAAGCTCATCCCATTCCATCCCTGCCAGGGGACACCTTCCACCAGCCTGGGCTGCCCCAAAGTGCTGCTGATGAGGGGAAAAAAAGGCAAAATGAGGCTTTTTTCTCTCCCCAGAGCAGATGAGGGACAGAGGTAACTCCCAGCTTCCCTCCACCTCGCTCTCCTAGGTGTGAAGGAAACCTCCTGGCTTGGTGACAGCTCGGAGTGTGAGTGCACCCCAAAGCCTCAAAGGACACCCTGAAGCCTCAAAACCACCCCAAAGCCTCAAAGCACACCCCAAATCCAGGCTAAAAATGCATCCCCAGCCCCCCAGCAGGGCCCTGCAGAGAGGCAGGCTCCCACATTTCCCACCCCAGCTCCCTGCTCTCACCCCCATCCCTCCCCAGGCAGAACAAGGCAGCTGCTGCTTTGGGATTTTCCTTTGTTTTCACAGCTTTAGCGATTTAAAAAGATGTAAATATGAAGGAAGGGTCAATGATTCAACAGTGATTAAGCCTGAAATATTCCACTTAGTACCCATTAGACTTTGAAAACACCCATTATGTTCCCAGAGCTTCCCCAGGGCCAGGCAGGCACTACCCAGCCCTGGGGAAAGCAGCTTTCTTGGAAGGCTGAGGGTATTTTGTGAAAATACCGAGTTTATTTCACTAGAAAGAAAGGGGGGAAAAAGGAAAAGACAATAAAAGAATTAATGTATTGGAGGTCCTTAATACCATTTCCCCAGAGAGAGGGAAAAAAACAACAAAGCCTAATGGAAATTTTCTATTCCCAAAACCATTTGCACTGTTATTGTCTGCAACTAAAAGGAGATGAAAACATAAAAACCTCAGCAGCTCGAGCTGCTGGGAACTGCAGGGCTGAGCACTTCTGCTTTCCCTTCAAGAATAAAATTAAACTGTGCCTGGGTTGGGAAGTTTCCACCTGACAAAAACATCAACCCCCCTGCAGCTGCCTCCGAAGGACTCAGAGGATGCAAAGCTCATTGCATGGAGCAGAAAAAATCCTCCCATCCCTCTGGAAAAAGCCAGGCTGCTGCTTCAAATCCTGAGGATTTGCAGCGTTTTAGGAAACGTGTAATTAAGCAATGTGGTTAAATGAAATGCTGATTTAAGAGGGGAGCAGTGCTACTCCTTGCAAAGGGAAGGACCATTCCTTCAAATCAATCTGCTCCCAGTTGCACTCGTGATGTTTTAAACCACAAATCCGAGCAAATAATCAGAGGAGAAATAAAATTAATTTGCTAAATTGCATTTGCTTTGTCTCCTGGAGAGCTGTTGAGTGGAGGAAGAGCCACTTGTGCTGTCTCAGGGGACCTGTCCCCACCACCCACCCCAGACATACCCTGGGGGCTGAGGAAGCCCAAAGAGGCATCCAAAATTCCTTCCTTAAAATCTGTTTAAGGAGGAAAGAGCTGTGACTGGGTTCACCCCGGAATGAGGGGGGACAGCTGGGACTGGGGGAGCCCCAGGGGACAGAACTGGAAATAACCCCAGGGTTTCACTGCTCCAGCACAGCAGAGAGCTCCTGATCAATAAATAATTCATGGCCCAGACAGTGCAAGTGGCTTTGGGAGGAGAGGAGAGGAGAGGAGAGGAGAGGAGAGGAGAGGAGAGGAGAGTGGGCAAACCCTGGGAACTGGGCTGGCAGCCCCGGTGCCAGGGCAGCAGGGGCTCTGTGCCCTCTGGGCTGGTATATGACAGGATGCTTGCCTGGCTGCAGCCCAGCTCTACCTATCCTGATGGCCAGCTCGCTGCTGCTGCTCCCGAAATCCCAGCCTGGGGCCTGCTCCTGCTTCTCCTTCAGGGCTCGCTGCTCACAGCCCAGGGCCAGGGCGGCGTGGGAAGGGCCAGGGAACCCCTGCAAGGCAACACAGACACGTCAGCACATCCCAGAGCTGCCCCCAGCCCCATCCTCTGGTGCCCAGGGCTTTGGGATGGATTGGGATTGATGGGGATGTTTCACAGCAGCTTCTGCACCGAGCTGTGGCACTCGGGCTGCAAAGGGACCTTAAATTCCATCCAGTGTCACCCCTGCCACGGCAGGGACACCTTTCTCCAAGCCCTGTCCAGCCTAGCCTGGGGCACTCCCAGGGATGGGGCAGCCACAGCTCCCCTGGAATCCCATCCCAGCCACTTCCCACCACCACCACAGGAAGGATTCCTGCCCCATTTCCCATCCAACCCTGCCCTCTGTATTCCCTATTTCCTGTCACTGCAGCTCCTGATCAAAAGGCATCCATCCAGGTGGGTGTTTCTGGATGTTCTCAGGTTCCTCAAACCCACCTGAAGCTACAGAAGCAGGAGGAACCTCGGGATTAGAGGCACAGGAGCACAGCTGGGAGAAGGGAACATGTCCCTGGCAGTGACTTGTGACCTGGTGTCACCCTGAGTCCTCTCCTCCCTGCAGAGCTGGGAATGCACCCCCAGGAGGATCCACAGGGAGGGATGTGCAGGTGGGATCACCTGGGATCACTCCCAGGGAGAGATGTGCAGGTGGGATCACCTGGGATCACTCCCAGGGAGGGATGTGCAGGTGGGATCACCCCCAGGGAGGGATGTGCAGGTGGGATCACCCCCATGGAGGGATGTGCAGGTGGGATCACCCCCAGGGAGGGATGTGCAGGTGGGATCACCTGGAATCACCCCCAGGAGCCGGGTGCAGCTCTGGGGTTGAGGCAGCAGAAGAAACCAGCACCCTGAGCCAGAGCAGCAGCAGGAGCCTCACTGGGGGGTCACACGAACCCAAAACAAAGGTTAAAGATGAATAACTCAATTGGCTCCTCTCCCCTCATTTGCATAACGAGTCTGAGCGGGGCTGTTAATACTAATGACATATCTGCAGTTCAGCTGGGAGCTCTCACCTCCACTGACCCAGCAGGGCAGCCTGAGGAGGGGGGATCCAATCCCTCAGGACCGGGAGAGCCAGGAGGGAAGGAGGAGATTTCCAGCAAAGCCTGGATGCTGAGAGTCCAGAGAGAGCCAAGTCCTGAGAGCCAGCAGAGGAAAAGGGGAATTTTGTTTGGATAAGGAATGAGGGGACTAGGAATGGGAGCTCAGGGGCTCATCCTGCTGCAGGGTGAGGGAGTCAAGGAATCCTGGAATGGTTTGGGTGGGAATGACCTTAAATCCCATCCCTGCCATGGCAGGGACACCTCCTACTGCCCAGGGTGTTCCAAACCCCATCCAGCCTGACCTGGGACACTGCCAGGCATGGAGCAGCCCCAGCAAATCTGGGAATCCCAGCCCAGTCCATGCTCACAGGGAAGGATTTCTCCCAACATCCCATCCCTGCCTTGTAGGAATGTGCTCCCTGTTAATGGATGACCAAACTATCCTTTGTCCCCCTAAAAAGGAAAGAAGCCCAGCAGTTTCTCTCATCGATTTCAGGTGAAAAAGGCATCTCACAGACCTGGGGGACTTCACTTCAAACTTAAGGATGGCAAATTGGACAGAAATCTGAGCAATTTACTAGAAAAGAAGTGAACAAAGAAACTAATGGCTTTTGTGAGGTGTTTTACCAGGAGGAAAGACCTCTTGCACCTGGATGGGCTTTTCGGCGTTATTTTGCCTTTTATTAAACCTTTTTGTTTCCAACACTGCCACAGAAGCCATCCTGCTGATTTTTATGCCTCCAAAGGTAGCTGAGCTGTGTTGGGTGTGTTATAGACCTCCAAGAGCTTATGAGACCTGGCTGGGGGAGGCAGATATAACAGTCCCTGCTCTCTGGAGCCATTCCCTGTGTGCTGTCCCTCCATGCCTTGCCCAAAGCCTCTTTCCATCCTCGCTGTCCTGCTATAAACCAAACACATTTTCACCTCTGCAAAGGAGCAGCACCCCCAAAAACACCAAACCCCCAAAGCTGCACGGAGATGGAGGCAATCCCAGGTGGATTTGGGAAGGTCAGGTGGCCTCCCTGGCGGCAGGGACAATTTGTGACAATATTGGTGACCTTCAGGAGAGCACACGAGCGATGCCAGCTGAGGCTGCTCTGAGTCACGCCAGCCCCGAGCCTGCAGGAGGCCCTTAATTGGAATGTGTCAGTGGGTTCAAAACATTGCAGAGAGGAGAGGAAAGGCAACCGGCATTAATTAGTTCGTGGCAGTAATTAGCGTCAGCTGAAATAACCACGGGGGTTGATTATTGCAGAAAGCGAGAGGCAGGGAGAGATTTGGACAGGAAGAACTTGGAGGAAAAACTATTCTGGGATGTGGGAGCTCCCACTGCACTCCTCTGCTCGTGGAGGGAAGGTGGGATTGGCCTGAGCCTGGGTGGAGAAGCAAATGAGGGGGAAAATATCCTTTGTGTAGGAAAAGGGGTGTTCTTTATTTGGGGAAAAGGTGTCCTTTATATGGGAAAAAGAGGGATCCTTTACATGGGAAAAAAGGTGTCCTTTATATGGGGAAAAGGGGATCCTTTATATGGGAAAAAAAGGAATACTTTTTGATACAAAATGGGTATTCTTTTAGATTTTTTAAAAAATGTATCTTTTTAGGGAAAGCAAGGATTTGGGATTAGATCCCTTAAAAAAAAGGATCCTTTTTGATACAAAATGGGTAATTTTTTAGATTTTTTTTAATGTATCCTTTTAGGGAAAGCAAGGATTTGGGATCACATCCCCCTGAAAAAAGGGATCCTTTTTGATACAAAAATAGGTATTCTTTTAGATTTAAAAAAAAAAAATCCTTTTAGGTAAATCAAGGATTTGGGATCACATCCCCCTGCCCAAGATTTTAATTGATCTGAAGCCAATTTTAAAAAGAATTTGAGACTGACACCTCTGAGAAATAATCTGCTCTTCTCCTCCAGGCCAAGGGAGGAGAGTGAATAGATCAAGAAATCCTGATGGACTGAGGGTGATCAGAACACTCAGTGCCAAAGCTGGAGGTGCTGCTTGCCTAGGAAGGTCACAGATGCTGCTCCTGCTGTGCAAGATTTCAGCAGGGAAAATGCCCTGGAAAAGGCCCTGCAAAGCTGATGGAGAAAGCACCACAATGGCAAAGGGAAACAGAATCCATTTCACTGCTTTCTTTAAAAAAAGAAAGAATAAAAATAATATCCCCTACTTGTCCAGGAGCAGGCACAGAGATAAGGGAGAATAAAAATCCTGGGTCAGGTGGGGCCCAGAGGCTCCAGTTTCACACTCAGTGAGCGATAACACACAGAGATAACTGAGCAGGGACAGCAGCAGGAGGGGAGGGTGGCTCAGGGCAGCAAAGGGAAAGGCATAAAACCTCTGAAGGGGGAAATGATGCCTCAAGTTTTAGCTGTTGTATTTCCCAGACTCTGCACTGCATTGGTTTATAACTGAACTTCACCCAAAAAGGGGCACAGGGACCATCACTGGCACCCAAAAGGGGCACAGGGACCATCACTGGCACCCAAAAGGGGCACAGGGAACATCACTGGCACCCAAAGGGGGCACTGGGAACATCACTGGCACCCAAAGGGGGCACTGGGAACATCACTGGCACACGGAACATCACTGACACCAGCCCCACCAGGGGAGGTGGGCACAGCCCAACCCATCCTTCGGCTTAAACAACACTTGAGCCAAATAAAACATTAAAAATAAACTCCTGGGGTTTCCCCTGGCACGTTTGGGGCTTTTCCCTTGGCAGGAGGGAGGAGAAGAGGCAGGGGAGCTGCAGGCAGGGCAGGAGGAGGGGACACACTCCCCATCCCCTCGGGGTGTTTCTCTGACACAGCACAAGGGACGGTGGCTTTTGTAACCTCTGCCACACCAAAACAAAAGCACAGGAATGTTTTCCATGCTTTGGCCAAAAAAAAACCAAACAACAAAACGAAAACAAACCCCATCCCTGCAGCATCAGGAGTTTCCTGTCACCAACCTCCTTCCCACCAGGAATCCTGGAAAAGCCCCAAGCACAAGCAGCAAAATTCATTTTTCCGTGGAATAATTGCTCCAAGCAGAGAATCTGAGCCCAGCGAAACCAGTTAGGATGGAGATCACTCCCAGTTGTGAGCTGGGAGGAGATTTTCCTGTTCCAGCCACAGCCAGACCTTCAGGGGTATTTTCCTGGAGGGTTTTTATTTTCCTCACACCCCCAGCACCCTCAGAGAGGTTTGTGCCCCACAATGTGAGATTTTAATTGTCTGAGATTTTAATAACCAGATGGGATCAACAGGAGCTGTTCTGCACACATTTATTAAACCCTGGCAGGGACCAGTTCCACCCCTTTTCCCACGTGGATTTTCACAGGCTTTTAGCCAGGGTGAGAGGAAAAAGCAAACAAACCTTCAATTACCAGCTCATTCCTCCCCAATATTCCCTCAGCAAGGATTCTGCAGAGGGAATTGCTGGGGAAGGGTGAGCTCTGGCAGGATGCAGCAGGGCTCAGGCAGCCATCCATCAGCCCCAAATGAAGAGCCAGCAGTGCCTAATTCCATTATTTTAACACACAGCTTCCTCTGGATGCTCAGCCAGCCCTGAGGACGTGAGTGAGGTCTCAGCATTCCCAGGGAGCAGCTCCAGCCTGTGAGAAATGGCCACTCACTTTTCACTGCTCCCAGAAGGTTTGTTAAACCTTGTCAAAAATACAACAGCAGACTGTATAGAGAAAATGAGCAAAGCATTTCCCCACCATGTGCTCACCCCCACAATGGAGGTTTCACCTTTTAACCCTCTAACCCTTCCCCAAAGTTCTGTCCATTGAGTCCTCTTTCCCTGCCCAGTGGTGGAGTTTAAATCCCTGTCCCAGACTGCAGGGCAAGATGTATTCCATTTGCCATCTGTGTGGCAGTTGTCTCCTGTTCAGTGGGCAGTTTTCCTTATCTCTTCCACTCCTCCCTCAGGGGAGACATCTGCTGATAACAGGTCATGGAATGTCCCTACATGGC